CTCTGCTCGTGTGGACCACCGTCTGCATCACAGCTTCGACTTGCCGAGCACCAGATGCAAATTACAACCGCAGCAGGTGGTAGCAGGCATTCATTCACTGGCACAGGAAGTGGTGAGTCAATTAGTGGTGCCATGTTAAAAAAACTTGCATTCCCCTCACTCTGCCCCTGACTAATTTTGCGGCTTATTCAGCTCTTAGTTTGAACAAAAACAGAGATCTTGCACAGCAGCACGGCGAAGTGAGTCCTCACCATCTTTTGACTAAGAGGTTTTTTTCTTTTTTTTCAAGGTTTCAAGGTTTTTTTCAAGGGACAGGGTTAATAACGTGTAGCCAGTGGACAATCTAATATGCACCCTGCTCTAGGTCTTAGGTTCACTGTTAGTCTTGTTATGAGACATGTTGAAATATTTTGGCAATGCATAACACAAAGTATGGTATATTGCTGAGTCCACTTTACCCTGGAAATGTAACACAATGGACAAGCAGTGCACTTTTCCCACAAATCCATTAATTTTGCTGTTACCTGTTGCTTTCATTGCTGTTTTGACATTTTTCACTCACAATCTATCACAATTATTGAAAATATCCAGAATCATTTTATGTTTCCTCTTTGTCTTTCCTTATCACGGTTTAGATTTGTTGTTGTTGCTATTATAAGTCCCAGGATCCCAGGACAGTTATCAGAGGAGTGATGTGATTATTCTGGGATCTGAAACTTTGTGTCCGTCCCAGGCTCAGCTAAAGCAATGTTGCAAGCCTGTTGTAATTGTGTTCAACAATCACCTGAAATAAAAAGAAATTCGACCCTTTGCTTTCTGTCTCTTTGCTTTTTTTTTCTCAAAATCGCTGCCCCCGAGTCTGCCACTGTCGCTCTGTGGTAACCTTTGACCTTTCACTAGAACAGGGTCATCATATAACCGAACAGCAGGGTGGCGCCAGAGAGCTCTTGCAGGGGGCTCTTTCAGGGGTGTCAGGGGCAGTGGAGTGGGGGAAAAGGTTGACAGTGGTCAGATTATGTTGGAGTCCATGTTGGGGACCCAGGTGGTCAGAGCTGTGGAGTGTCAAGGCAGGGCAGAGTCAACCGTGACCGTAAGACGTAATAATCATAATAATAATCTTAATTTTATATAGCGCCTTTAAAGGTGGCTTTGGACGCAAGACTTGTCTTGAACGAATAATAATAATAATTATTATAATAATTGCTTACACTTATATAGCGCTTTTCTAGACACTCCACTCAAAACGCTTTACAGGTAATGGGGATCCCCTCCACCACCACCAGTGTGCAGCCCCACCTGGATGATGCGATGGCAGCCATAGTGCACCAGAACACTCACCACACATCAGCTATTAGTGGGGAGGAGAGCAGAGTAATGAAGCCAATTCATAGATGGATGCATGGTAGGAGCTGGGGTGATGGGCTATTTGTGCGATCGTTTTCCATTATAGTCTAGAAGACATCATTTGGGGACCTTCTGGAAATTTGAGGTGGGGTTTGGATGTAGGAAACGCCAATAAGAATGCATTTCCTGTATTGTTCTGGTGATACCACCTGAGCACTAGACTACTGCTGGTGGCTGATCATATACTGAGCGCCGACTATGGCAGGCAGATCTGGCCCAAAGCCACACTTTGCTGTGTCTGGATTAACTATGGGACCCCAACATTTCAAATGTATAAAAAATGCACGCTCGGGCTAACAGATGTGCTCATCATCTCTGCGCAGAAAGAACATCTGGGGCAGGCTGCTTCATGCATTCCAAAAGGCGTTGCAAATGACCAATCCCCCTCACTCTCCTGACGGCTGCTGTGAGCAAGGAAGGCAGCAGAAATCAGTCTCAAACTTTTTAAGCTAGCCAAGCATTGCCAGCCACAGAGTGAGTCTAAAACATAGAGCAGTCTTTCCTTACCCTAGAGCACTGAGAGTAGATGGCAGTTTGAAGGGTGACCCCTGCTGGCCTGATAGGGTATAATAAGTACAATATCATCAACAGGAACTTTCATGAGAATATGTCGCGAAAACGTCCTCTTACATCTGTTACCCAAGTATAGGCCGTGCAGCATTAAGTCTTGAATGGGCACTGAATCAATTTTGCATGAAAATGTATCTTTAACACAGAGTAGTTCTTGTGACACTCTAAATGTCAATACAAACAATTGTTGAAATTATTGGAATCTTTACAGCTATGGCAAAACCTGCACACCTCTGGTATCAGTTTCACTAGGTCTCAGTAACTCCCACAGTTATTTAGTCATAAAGGGGAACTGAAATGCTTTTTTATATTTCACAGTTAGAAAGAATCAGCGCTGATAAGTGCACTGCAGACCACAATGAATGTAAAATGTGCACAGTGTACGTGTTAGACAACCAGTTTACACCACAAAACAGACTAAATTTTCCGGTGTGTGCAGCACCATGTTCTGCGATTCAGAACGAGGCAACAGAACATCCGAACATGAACATGAAGAACATGAAGCAGCCCTATGACATTGTAAACAAGCAGGCTTGTGAATACGTCTCCTTTAAGGATCCATCTCCTCCTAAAGATCTGTGCCTGTGGCTGGAAGGTTGCTGGTTCAAATCCCGTGGCCGGCAGAGGAATCCTACTCCGTTGGGCCCCTGAGCAAGGCCCTTAACCCCAGCTGCTCCAGGGGTGCTGTACAATGGCTGACCCTGCGCTCTGACCCCCAGCTTCTCTCCCTGTCTGTGTGTCTCATGGAGAACAAGCTGGGGTATGTGAAAAGACAAATTCCTAATAAAAGAAATTGTATATGGCCAATAATAATCTTTAATCCAATAGAAATATTGCCCTTGGTTTGCCGACAAATACTCCTTACTTGTTACCTCTGCAAGCAGATCATGTTGGAACATATCTGTGGTGAAATGTCTTCTGCACAGCCTGTACTTATTTGCTTGTACATCACGTTACATTAGTCATCGCAGTGAACAGACAGCAGGAAGGACCACTTCATGTCACAATTCTCTCGCCCATTACGGAAGTTTCGCAACGTTCATGACTTTGCGCTTAATCTGAAATTGGCCATTTTTTTCACTGTCAATGGATTTATTTTGCTACCGAGATTTAATAACCAGTCTGAGAAACTGGGACCACAGTTCCCCTTTAAAGGGACCCTGTGAGCACCACTCGTGGGTGCCTGGGCAAACCCCAGCGTAATCAGCTGGCACGCTGCCCCCTGGACTACACTTCCTAAGGCAGTGCTCCAGTGTGGAGACAGCAAGCGCTGCTGCTGTCAGTGGCGGTGCTGGACCAGTAGGCAGCGCTCTTCCCTCTGGATCAGAACCTCCCAGCCGGTGACCCAGAGTTTCGACAGAGAACATGGTCCTTCGGGTGCTCACTGTCTGGTCTTTGCCGATCCCAGAGCACTGCTGAGGAGAACAGGGGTGATAACCTCACGGTGCTGTACGGGTTTATGGGTTTGCACAATCTGTCTCTCTATCGTTCCTCCTTAACATAAATTGTTAGGCAGTTTCTTCCCCTTCACCTGCAATCAGATGAGTGCCGCACCTCAGTGATGAATACACTGTATGTCTTTTATAATTATTGATAGGAATGATCTTAGAAGTATTATTATTATAAAATTATATATTATGGAAATATCATGAGCAAATTGTATTATGAGAAGATCCACTCCTACAGTATGCCTTAGACTCAGGTCCCAACCTTGAAACTGCAAGCTGAGGAGCCAGGTATTGTAATTGTCTTTGGTGTTAATTTGATTAGGAAACTTTGTGATCAGTGCACACGTATTAAAGATACCATATCCGACTATGGCACAAACAACAGCAGACATTCTGTAATACAGACACTGCTTATATATGCTGCCTTACAGATGTTATTAAAGCATTGTCCCATCAGTGCCTTTGAAAAGCCCCTCTGAATGAATGGATCTGAATAAGATCAGTATGCAGCTGGGAGGGTCTTTGTATTGTGGACAAGTGGAGGTCAAGCAAACGTCAGACTGATGCCCTCAGCGCTGAGGACGTCACAGCGAGAGAGGAAAGGCACTCTACAGGCCCCGGGCCAGACAAGTCAGCACTTGAAGTGTCTGGCTGGAAGTAATAAATAGGACTTTAATTGTGTTTCTCATCAGTGGAAGTACCCATCAACAAAGGGCACACAGAAAATCATTCAATGATAATAAATGTCTGATATATTTCATTTGCACAAATATTCTTAACGCGCCTTTAAAAGCAAAAATCTAAAAACGTTTGTCAGTTGAGTGTTCACTGTTGTGCTCTAAACTGAAGTCAGAAACATTACGATGTGAGACCCAGCCTTCAGGACACTCACTCTTGACACAGCTCCAGCCTGACACACTCCTGTCTGCCTCAGTAACAGGGATAACAGTGGTCTGCTGCTCTGTACAGAGTCAGCCTGCATGACGTGATGTGTCCGACTAGGGGTTACTGCTTTGCTCCAGAACGAACACAGCTGTAACATCTGTCTGCCCAGGGTCCACTGGAGAGCGCCCTTTTGGATGATGGGTGGAGGTCTGGCGAGATTTAAAATGTGACAAAAGGGTGGGATTTGGGAAAACAGTTTTTTAGATTGTTTTGAACACAGTTAAGGATTCTGGGGGCTCAGAAGACGACTCAATGGTGGCACACCGAAAGTCCCAGCACCATGGCAGGTCAGACAGAGACTGCCCGAGCTGAGCCCCGTCCTCTTGCATAAGGACTTCCCGTTTCTTGATTGACATCCAGCAGAGTGGAAACGATGCGTCTAGATCAATGTTTAAACTGACACATGGCAAAATGGTGCAGCAAGTAAGGCAATTAGATAGGTGTTCCCAACAGAAACCTTGCCCAAGACAGCTGTGGGTCACCCTGTCGAAGTTACAGAACCCCCAAACTGAAATCTTCTTGTGGACTCTGCGACACCAGACGCCTGTCCATGCGCACAAGTGTCGTATGAAGAGAAATTGCTATGATGAAAGGCCAGGATACAACGCAGAGCCTTAAAAGGCAGTGTGGTTATGACAATAAAAGGAAAGACTCCTTTACATTTTAAATACCTCTTGAGATTTTTTTAAAGGAGACGTCCTTTTTAAGTTTAAAAACTGTTTCATCAAGAATTGTAACTTAAACTGTTGTGTTAATCTTAAATTTCCGAAAAACAAACTGTCAGCATCTTATTTTGAATGTAGGTAATAAAATAATTAAATTTGACTTAGTCGGTATTAAAAGGCCAGCGATAAGATCATGTGTCAAGCCTCACTTATAACCCCGTTTGGAAATAGTACATAGTACATAATTGTAATAGTACAATTCGGAGAGTCGTTTTTTTTTAACAGAAGCCCCAACAGGACTCGACACGGTGCAATTATTGCAACAAAATGGAAGGGATCGTCAGACTTAAATGTTTTTAGGAAGACCACACCCTTGTCGTGTACAAGAGGTGAGCTCACGACATTGCCGAACACACCTGCACCAGACCTCGGGAGGGTGACGTCATGTGGGAGAAGAAAAAAAAAGAGAAAAGCATGCCCCCCCCCCCCCCCCCCGCCGGGAAACTGCCCATCGGGGGGGGGAGGAGATTGACACGTACAGTAGCCAATCAAAGGGCAGGAAGAGACAGGTGCCCACAGGCCGCCGCCCAATCGGAAGCCAAGAGGAGGCGGGCCAAGTCGCGGCGGTGTGTCGCAGGGAAATGGAGAGCGGTTGAAGTCGAGCAGTCGGACGGGAAGGAGAAAAAGTTTCTTAATTTTTCCGGCAGTGGGCGGTTAGTTGATTTGTTTCTTTATTGTCGAGCACCAAAACCAGCGGACGAGGCAGGGGGGAAACCAAAAGGCACACGACTGCAAAGAACAAAACAGGAGAAAGCGAGGAAAAGTGAGAGAGACGGAACCGCACAGTTATCTCTCAAGGAAGCGAGTGCCTGGTGCCGACCGGCAGGTTAGACATCCTCACCGCCGAGGACCCGCAGCTGCCAGCCCGCTGAAGACATGGCCAACAGAGAAGACGAGTACGACTATCTCTTCAAGGGTAAGCACGTCGCCCCCGGTGGCAGGTCGGCCCCCTGCCCCGCCGTGTGGCGCCGCCGGTGGGCGGGGGGCTCTCGACCTGGGACTCCGGCCGCCCGGCTCGGCTCTCCCGGCGGGGACCCCGAGTCTGACCGCGCCGGAGCCGCTCTCCGGGGGCTGTTCCTCGTCTTCATGAGGGGCAGTGGAGTAGCTCGGCGGCCCCTCGGAGTTTTGTCGCGGGGGGGGGGGCTATCGCTGTCTAGTGAATTAATCCTCCCCCCCCTCCAAGTTTGTGAGCTGTGAGCTGTTGCATCATAACTCCGGCAGGACCCTGACAACCTATGGCGGTGCCCGCTGCTACTTCCGCGTACGGAAAAAGCGAGTTAGTCGCTGTCGCTTACGTTAAACACAGTGACCTGGTGTACACCTAGTGCACAGCCGGGGTTGTGCGGTGTCTGCGGAGATCCGAGCCCGGCTCTCTCGGCTCCCCTCCCGGGAAGCTGTAGGGTCGGTGCCGCCGTCGCCAGTGATGTGATGTGTCACTGACCTCCCCGGCTTTGTCTTGAAGACGGGGGGCTTTGTTTCTGCCCTGGCAGTCAGGTAAAGCCCGGGCAGAAGGTGGCGAGGGGCTGGGTGCTTGCCCGCCCTTTGGCACGCAGCTGAATTTGCCCCCTTGGAAGATATGAGAAGTGACAAATGAAAGGGGCCCGTTTGCAGTAGTTCCTGGCTCCGAGCAGGCACACAATCCCTCCCTAGACTGTGGATAGCACTGATCCCTGTCTCACATACACACACCACTGCTCAGGGCTGCCTGTCTCCGTTATGAAGCAGGAAGTCTTCACTGAGCTCACTGGTAGCAATAGACTGGGGGTCATCTTGCATCGCCCCCAGACTTGGCTTTCCTGGGCAGATCTCTGAGTGTCTGAGATCCGTACAGGAGGATGTGTTCACTGCAGGCATGAGGTCAACCGCAAAGCTAATTTCACCTGCGGACTGAGCTAGATTCCTGTGCTCACCTATGTCATGTCGTCACTACTGAAGTGTGCCGCCATGACGCTCTAGTCGGGGTTACAGACAAGATAGGGCGGTTCGGGCCGTTAGGTAAAGTGTGAAGATAAGCTGTTGGTCTCGGGGTGAGATGTGAAGTTCCGCCCCCTGTACTGACCACAATGCCTCAGGCCGTTTTGGCCCTTGTGCAATATGGCACAAGACACGTGGGGTGTTTCACCCATGTGCAAGAATTCATCTAGATTGCGTGGCTGGAGTTCAGGACACGCACAATTGTTAATATGGGGAAAATTGCCGAAAGAAAAAACCTTCTACCTCTTGAGATGTTCAATGGCCAGACATCGGTGTAAGAAATACAAATATTGGAGTCTGAAAGAACGGAAAGCAGGGGTTTTACAGGCTGCTGGAAATGGGTGGAAAATATGTTGGTTGTAACTGTAAATGACTGTGGATGATCTCTTTCAAGACAAAGGAGAGTTGCGCTCAACACATAAAGCTCCACAGCGTTTCTGGGGAAGTTTTTTTTGCTGTTGAATGTGTTGACAGGAGAATGTTTCCTTGCTGTGTGTTTATAGAAATAAGAGATCAACCAGTGCAACTCGGAAAGAAAACTCTTTGTTTCCTCCTTGTCTTGTGCAGAAGGCTTACACTTCCTCTCTGGAACAAGGAATAAGCATGACTCGATAGAAATATTTTCTGATGGTATCTCTGGTCCCTTTCTTTTGATGTCGAAGCTCTGCTCGCCGTTCCAGCAGCTTCCTTGCATCACGCCCACTTAAAAGAATCCCTGCTACTAAATGATGAGTCATCTTTTAATTGTGAAGTAGCATTGCTTCACCGTGGTGTAACCAGTGAGTCAACCCTAGATTGCCACAGGAGAGGGTCAAATGTGAAATCCTAAAGGCAGCGTGTACGCCGAACCCCTAAATTGTAAATCACGGCTCATGTGTGGTGGCCAGCTGTTTGTATGCATAGAGTTCTGTATTGGGTAAACTGCCTTAAAATATCTGTGGGGACACATATGCAGTTAGCTCTTTTAATAGCTGTGCACAGGCAGAAACTAAAGTTAAGACTCAGAGGGCTGATTGCAGCCTAACTGATAAAGGCAGTGTAGTAGGAAGTGACTACATCTGTATCAACAAATGCCTCCTCCCCTTCAAAAATAGAAATCAAAATGAAGTAATCTGTAATGTAGCCAGTCTGAGTCAAGTGCCCAAGAGCAGAGAACATTTGAGAGCATTTCGTAGAGCTAGAGTGTCTGTTCGGTGACACACTTTTTGACATTGTTGTCCCATTTTAATGCTCGAAGCGCGCTCTAGTTTAACGGTTCACATCTGTCTGCGGTCGTCTTTGCTCACAGGAGATCCACAGCAATGAAACCAGTTTGAAGTTTCTCCGTTGAGTACAGCCCTGCTGTTCACATACAGCCCAGCACTGCATACATGCACTGCAGGCACATATGTCCATCCCATGAAAATGAAAGCAAAAGTTTTTTGTTAAAAAATGCTCTATGTCTTAATTTAAGCAAAGCTAACCAAATCGCAACACACGAGCAAAACCAGATTTACATTGACAGTGCCCTTAGTTGTCATGTGATTCTCTTAAAATTTGTCCAAATTGAGGACAAGAAAAAAATGTGAGAGACAATTAAATGCGAGTGAGTATCCCCTGTCAGGAATGATTTAAAAATCTTTAAGGATATACCTGGGAGATAAAGACGTGGCTCTATAAACTGCTGCCAAAAATCAAATTGAAAATTGAACATTATTAGTAGATCTATCTGTTCTGGTTTGTGTGTATGTTCTCGTCAGGAAACTTATATAGTTTAGGGTAATATGTATTTCCTTATTTCCTTGTGCAGTGTGCCCAAAATCACCAGGTCCAGAGAAGAAGCATTTCCCCCCCCCCCCTTTGTCTGTCTAGAGATCAGTATCTAGAGTGGGTTTTGCACTGTATTGTTGCTCAACATAACCTCTTAGTTGTTAAGAAAAACAGGGCTCGTTTGAAAATCAGTCGCCAGACTGGAAAAACTGGAAGGCTCCGGGTGACCTGTGTGAACCTTTGACAGCCCATTCTCACTCGGTACACGCTGTGCTCGGTGCCAAACCTTGGAACAGGAGCTGCACACTCCCCATGGAATCGGAGCTCTGCTCTGGATTTCGAGTTATTGAGCCTCTGGTTTGCTCCAGATATAACGTTCATGGCGCGGGATTGCTAGAGCTTGGGTCAGGCTAGGGCACATCCTTCCAGTCAGTCAGCAGAGTTTTAGGGGATTTTCCTAATTCTTTTTCTCTTTCCTGCTTCCTTTTCTGCTGCTTAACTTACTTCCTTTCTTGACCTGGAGGGGACACGACGCATTGCACAATACATTGAACACAAGATGTGCCCATTATCTAATAAGAAGCATACCTGCATGATAAAAAAAGAAATGTATTGTGAAAGTAAAATATCCAGTCTATTGTCCAAAGGAAGCAGGTTGATAGCCTTGAGAATAAAGGATAAGTTGGTTCTATTGCTCTTGAACCTAGGCAGTCTAAATCGATACCCAGATGGAAGGAGCTCGCTGTGCAAGAGGTGGTCATGACAGTCAGCGATTATACTGGCCTTACGCACTATTTTTTTTTTTCAGGTGAGGCCTAATATAGAAACGGTTTTGTTGCTTAATAACTTGCACACTCATTAGTAATACTGTATTTGTCCTTTGTCCAAGCATCACTATAATTAAACACCACACCAGGTGAAAATAGACACAACAAGTATTTCAGCCACTAGTAGATTCCGATCTAGAATTTAAGGTGCCGTTTGGTTGGTTTAAAAATGCCGGTTACATTGTATGTCACTTCTGTTTGCTGTCCGGAGTTCTGAGGAAACTCTCCTGTTTTTCCCCACATTGATAGAAGCTCATTCCCACATTTCTGTTCCCACTGTAGGGATGTGCGCATTCCCAGTGGATCTGAAGTGAGTGTGTTCTGTGGAAGGCCTTTCATGAGAGCAGATTGTGACACAAATGTATCTTTGCTGCTCTTCTCTGAGCACATGCATGGACAGGACACACAGCGTACAGGAATGCTTTAACAATCACGCAGACTGTAGTGTCCCCTTTCCAGTGGCCCGGAGATGTCACCAACTCTTTCTGCAGACATTCCACATGACCGGCATCTGTCCGCGTCTTGGTTTCCAGGAAGCCCAGAGCTCGCTCTCCGCGGGCTGAGCTCTTCTGTGTGTGCGTGCACACGGGGTGGAGCAGGGCGAGTCAGATTACCGGCTGGCTGGGTGCTCCATTGTGTCGCAAGGTGCATCTGGACAAACCCTTCACTTCTCCCACTATTGTTCGTCTCATTTTCCCAGTCTCTACATGCCTCCTGTGGAGGGCCTCTCGCCACACCGAAATGAGTGCATTCCGTTTGGGATCGGAAACTCAAGACATGCTGAAGCTGTGCATGGAGACGGTTCAGTTAGCCTCCATATAGATGTGACACTGCGTTTTTCTTCTTCGAATTTGGGATCTGCATGAGGACACTCCTTCTTCCTCGTTTACAGCTAATGAGCTCTTTAGCCTGCATTTTTTTCTTACTGCAATTTCAAAAGCAGGATCAGGACGAGGCGCGCAATTGAATTTCCCTGAGCCTGATTTGGGCTCGCCAGTCTGATGTGGTTTCATTTAGACCGCCGTCGTACACCTGTGACCCGGTGGTGTCATGGGGACCCCCTGCACCCTGTGTGGTGTGACCTTGCCTATAAACTATGGGGAACTGTGAAACCGGGCCTGAGGCTGGGCTGACCCTGGTGTACAAATCCTTCTCACCCCGACTCGGTCTGTAGCCTGTTTCCCCCAGATTCCCCTGCTGGCCTGTCCTCACAGTGCAGGAGAGAGGCGCCGGGCTTCTCTCTCCTCTCTCCTCTCTCCTCTCTCCTCATGGGGAAAACGAGCCCAGCTGTTCCCTCTTTAGCCTGCAGAAGAGCCAACCCCACTCTCCCTTTTGTGGGAATTATCCTCCTTTTCCCTGGTCCGACCACCAGCCTGCAGCAGCCGGACATGGCGACCGGCCCACCCTGAGGGCAGCCAGAGTCGGTCTTGCTCTCTCTGCCTCCTTCCAACGCCTGCGCCTCTGCCGGTCTTCTTTCCCACGGGTCTCAAAGCCACACAGACAGCTCAGACACGGAGCCCCCTCCCCGTGTTGCGCATGGGCGACACGGCCCTTTCTGTCCTGTTGCGTGTCATTCTTCTCGGGTCTATTTATGTTATATTCCGCGCCCAGTTAGGAATCGCCACTTGTTTTATGACTCTGATCTCTGAAGACGGCACCCATGGCCACTCAGCAGAGAGCAGGGCGGCGTCCCAGTCCCAGTGCAGAGACTGGAGGATCAGGGCACCTCTCACCACTGTCTCCACAAGCCCGTGGACACCCGCGAAGTCATAGGAGCTGCTGTTTTCCGGGGATCCGAGACGGACCTGGCCGGACTAATCCCAGCCCAGCTGCCAGTGGCGCTTGGCCAGCTGTGCACGGATATCAGGGGAATCCCAGCCACAGCTCACTATGGACATGATCCAGACCCAGGCCTGGGGAATCTGGATCTCAGGACTCCACCTGCGCTCCTAGAGCGTGCCTATACCGGTCAAGCCACTAGAGGGCGCCAGATAGACAGTCATCTTGTGCCTTTCCCAGGTGAGCCACTAGGGGGCACTTGTGTATCTTTTGTTATTTAGAATTGTGGCTGCTGTGTCTAGGTTTTGAAATTGTCCATGGGTTAACCAACCTCACTTCCCACTGAATAAATGCAGGCATCCCCTGAAACCACCACCTTCAGGCCAACTTCCTCTTTCTCAGACCGCAGTGCTCCAAGGCGAGCAGCACATGACAGGCGGGTCCGATTCTCGCCGATAACCCCGCCAGCTTGCAGACGCCCCCGACCGGCAGCAGGAACCTTGGACATCCCAGAGCGAGAGTAGCTGGCTTGAGAACAAACGCATTCTGCTGCCTCTCGATTAAGTGGTTTTGTTCGCTAGATTGCCTAATTAACAGACAGCGAAGCCTTTCATGTCAGACTGTTGTGTGCATAATGTCTTGGAAAGACCTGTTAATTTCACAAAGAGGAAGAAATGTTCTCATCTGTGATTCCTGATGCACAGATCTGGCGTGTATGTGGTGTGTTAATTTGATCACGAGAGGGAGTGTCTAGTGCTGCTGGCTGTCACTATGCTGTGGGCTGGATCCTTTTTCACGACAGTTCCTCCTGCACTGTAAGCTCGTGGGGCACATGGTGAGTTTTTTTTTTTTTTTTTACCGGCAATCTAAAATAAAATTAAGTTGGCAAAGGCTTTAAAATAAATATATAAAAGACATGATATATTTGTAATTTTAGAATACCAACTGATGCCTTCAAACAGATGTTTTAGAGTTTCTCAATGCAGACGTGACAAAATGAGGAATTCCTTTATCCCATGTTCAATCACAGTGCTCAATAAATCAGAATGGGTTTACAACAAACCCATTGTTGGTAATGGGCCAGTGCAATTAGTGGTTATTAGTGGTGCAAAAATGAAATCCCAGGGCGTTTCTCGAAAAGAGTAGGGGTGTAACCCCGGCGTCCTGGCCAAATTTCCCATCGGCCCTTACCAATCATGGCCTCCTATTAATCCCCCTCTATGAATTGGCTACATTACTCTGCTCTCCTCCCCACTGAGAGCTGGTGTGTGGGGAGCGTTCTGGCGCGCTATAGCTGCCGTCACATCATCCAGGTGGGGCTGCACACTGGTGGTGGTGGAGGGGATCCCCATGACCTGTAAAGCGCTTTGAGTGGAGTGTCCAGAAAAGCACTATATAAGTGTAAGGAATTATTAATTATTATAAAAATGAAGGGGTGATGTGCAGTTACAGGGGCTCAGGGTGACTTTGTGGGGAGTAATCTCAGTGGAGTTTTGTTTTTACGATACTTTTCCCCCTTAAGTTGAAGAATCTGGGATAGGGAAGGACTGTTGGTCTGTTAACCAGACTGGATCTGGGGTTTGAAGGAGGTGTGGTGCTTCTACAGAAAATAGTTTTCTTCCATTGTCTGTCTAGTGCTGTGTGGAGAGGAGTGATTGACTTGAAGTGAATGATTGAATCACTTTATTTAGCTGCTGCCTTTGTCAAGTGGCTTGCTCAGAGGGATAGGAGCCTCCTGAGTGGTTCCACCAGTGAAGTTGCTCAACTGAACACAGGTGGCTCTTGAGGATCACGGGTTCGAGTGGGTCATGTCACAAGCTGACTGTGACTGGGATTTCCCCAAGAGAGTGGGGTCGGATTAGTCAGTCTGGGCTCTCCCGGCTGTCCGTGACACAGAGACCCCCTGTGACCTCTCGGCTATTTGTCTTGCAGTGCTGCGAGTGAGGGACACGCCTCTCCTCCAATCAGCACTGAGCCTCCAACACAGGGCGGGCTGATCAGTGACATGTTAAAAGGCGATTGGTTTGGAAGGCAGACAGGTCTCAGGAGTCTGCCTGCACTTCCTCATTCTCCCAGTGTGCTATCAGGGAGTTTGTAGCTGTGGTCTGAGATGCATAAAACATCTGGCGATTGCGAATTAAGAGGGTATAATGCAAAATATCTGGCAATTCTTAATTAAGAATAATAGAGTTGTTGTATCAACAATGTTCGTAAAATCATAGTGATGCAATAAATGAAATAGTACGAGATGAAGCAATTCTAGGGAGTAGGGAGATGTCCAAGGGCCTCCATTAGAAAGCAGGAGAGGTCTTCTGTCCTGTCTGTACAGCCAAGTGTTTTTTAAGGAGTTTCCTTCTATACTAATATATTAATTCATGACCGTTTTGTAATAATGCAGTAGAGTACATGAACAGTATTGTCTCTGTTTGCAAACCATTTGTCTACAGGTGGGATGTAAGCATCATTTTAAGGTTCTAAATGACCACAAGTCTTAAAAGAAGAGAAGAATGATCTACTTCATGCAGCATCAAAAACAGGGATGAGCAACTCCAGTCCTCAATAGGCTGGAGCCTTCCAAGTTGTACAGTTGCTTTTCTATTCACAACTGATGGACACATAACAAGCAGAAAGCAGAGAACTTTGTCTGCTTTCTTTGTCACTTAAGTTTGGAGTTGATCATCCCTGATTTAAAATATAAGCTCTGTGCACTGTGACTTAATGCTTTTTTAGCTTTCGTTTTAGTTTTCCTTTACTATGTAAATCTTCAGACTTGTTGCCCTTTGTTTTCAGGTCTAACTGCAGCTAAACAATCTCATGAAATATCTGTGTGGAGAATGAGATGTCTTATTGTTCTCCTGGAAGGAAGCACAAGCTGGGGTGTATTTAGCTAGTGCAGAAGCTCACGGCATACTCAGAAGCCTGTTTAGGTTAAAAGCTTTTACTAGCCTCCTCTTCTCCTTTTCCCTCCTGCACCACTTTTCACATGTTTTTTTCTGTATTTCGGAACGTTTCTATAAAATCTGTCAAGTCTGCATTAAAGTCATAATTAAAGTCGGTTCAGGAGCACGAGACGCCCGATCATGTGAGCTTCCCCTTCCCACCGTGGTGCTGCAGCTGTGCCCTGTGCTCCTGTCCCGTCTCCTCCCCCCCACCCCCCAGCGGTGCTGCAGCTGTGCCCTGTGTTTCTGCCCCGCAGTGGTGCTGAAGCTGTGCCCTGTGCTCCTGCCCCCCCCAGTGGTGCTGAAGCTGTGCCCTGTGCTCCTGCCCCCCCCAGCGGTGCTGAAGCTGTGCCCTGTGCTCCTGCCCCCCCCAGTGGTGCTGAAGCTGTGCCCTGTGTTTCTGCCCCGCAGTGGTGCTGATCGGCGACTCCGGCGTGGGCAAGAGCAACCTGCTGTCCCGCTTCACCCGCAACGAGTTCAACCTGGAGAGCAAGAGCACCATCGGCGTGGAGTTCGCCACCCGCAGCATCCAGGTGGAGGGCAAGACGGTCAAGGCGCAGATCTGGGACACGGCCGGGCAGGAGCGCTACCGGGCCATCACCTCCGCGTGAGTGACGCAAGTGCTTATTGTCTGTCATCATCAGCCCCCTGGGTCACCCAAGGACCAGGTCAACAGTGGTGGACAGATTAAAAGAGGGTACCGTCCCCCAGGACAGCACAAGGTCTCCTCCCCTATACTCCCGACCAGCCATGATCGCTCACCAGCTGTGATGTTCTCTATATCACGTCATGACTTCATGACCTCAGTTTTCCACAGCCTAGGAGAGATGACTGGGGGTGTGAGATGTGGGAAGTCTTTAGGACTCTTCAGAAACGTACATGGTGTAAACCTGGGTGTTGTTAACGGCCAGGTTCCGAACTGACAGGAAAACACTGTCTCTCAGAATTAAGCAAGGGAGGTCTGGCGGATGAGATATAAACCGGGAAACGCAATTGGCAACAACAGCTTACCACTTGTATAGAAATTTTCTTCTCCCTAAATAATAATAATAATGTTGCTTTATTAGCCCCATATAATTTCTTACATTAGGAATTCATTTTTTCGCATACCCCAGCTTTCTCTCCGTGAGAGAGACAGACAGAGAGAGAAGCCTGGGGTCAGAGCGCAGGGTCAGCCATTGTACAGCGCCCCTGGAGCAGTTGGGGTTAAGGGCCTTGCTCAGGGGCCCAACGGAGTAGGATTCCTCTGCAACCTTCCAGAGCCACAGCTCCGCCCCGAAGCACTCTGCAGTAAATTCTGGTCCTGATGTACAGAGGCTGGAGCCAGAAATGGGATTTAACCTGTTTTGGAGGTCGCTGGAGTTTAAGGCAGACCAGATTCTGGAGAGCTAGCTGTGGCCTCACGAATAACACCCTCTGCCCCTTCCAAACGGGCTCATGAGATCTGCAATGTCCACCAACTCAGTTTTCCATCTCATCTGAAAGCAGCACCTTCAGGTAGAATAGCTTCCTCTCTCTCTTCAGAATGGCCTATTGGGTTGGAAAGTCTGCTTTAGAAATTGTCGTCACCCACTGGCCGAACGGCGCTTCTTTTGGCAGAATCCATCTAGCCCTCAGGTCACACACGTTGGACACAGGGCCCGGGAGCTGGCTGTGACCTGCCCAGCCCATCTGTCCGGCTCCTGTGGCCCTGTGTAGAGCCAGGGGCCAGGATTCAATGTGCGCTTGGCTGGCAGGACCGCCGCGCACTCAGGGGTGCAGACGCCCCCCCTCTGCTTCTCCTGTCTGTCTGGAGGTATCAGATATAGTCCAACAGGGACGTGTCTTTGCGCGGAAATCACGAGACCTGTACACGTCTTCTAAATTTCGGAGCAAGTTCCGTGCCCGTGCCGCCCCCGACCTCATTGAAACTGTACCTCGTGATTGTTTTTAGGATTTCAAAAGGATCGAGGAAAGGGGAAGTGGAGGAATTGAAATTCATAGAAGCGACTGCAAATGCTTGATTAGTACTGAACAAGTAGCTGCTACTTGCCAAAAAGCAATAGCAATTAAGAATTTGTAGATGTGAAGTTTTTTCCATTTTTAAATCACTGTTATCTAGTAAATTGTGTTTCACTCATCCATCCATTTACTCGCCACTTCTTCCAATTCAGAGTTGTGGGGGAGCTGGAGTCTATCCCAGCAAGCAACAGGCTCAAGGCAGGGTACGCCCCGGACAGGACGCCAGTCCATCACAGGGCAGACAGACACAGACATGCTCACAAAAAGGGCTGATTTTCCCAGAAGCCGTTTAACCCACCAGCATGATCCCCACACGAACGGAGGAGAACATACAAACTCCACACAGACAGACCCCGGGATTTGAACATAGAACCCCAGCACTGCGTGTTCTATATTTTCAATATCTGTCAGCCAGCATTCTCTTGAAAATGTATTTTTCTGGTTCTATTCCCAGCAAAAAAACACTAAAACTTGATGGGAAACGAGGTCTGAGCTGTATCTCTCTCTTCATCACAGCTGCTGTTGTCCGTTCTGAAATTAGAGAAGTTCCTAATATTCTTTTCATCAGAACTGACTTACGCAGTGTGCAGTAACCACGATTATTTTAAATAATCTTTCATTAAAGTTATTCAATTAACTAAATGTTGAAACTAATTTGTGATGTTAAAATGCGGTTAATGATGCTTAAAAGCTTCCCACAGAGCAGTGAGTGAGTTCTGCTAAATTGACTGACTGCTAATAGCATCTTAAAGGGAGATATTTAGTTAAAAAATAAACACCGAAACTGCAGAACGCTTCTGCCTGCTGTTTAGGTGTGTAAGGCCCTGCTGAAGTGCCTTCAGGTGAACTCTAGCCCTCGCAGCTGTGGCCAGCCTCAGAGCACCTTCAGGAACGACCCTCCGCCAGCTCCCTGCACTCGGGTGTGGCGTTAGGGGGCAGGGGGGTCCGGGGGGAGAGCGAGGGGTGTTTCCAGTGGGCTGTGCCCTGACGTCTTCCTCCCCTCCCTCTGTTTTCTGCACACAGGTACTACCGGGGGGCCGTGGGCGCCCTGCTGGTGTACGACATCGCCAAGCACCTGACCTACGAGAACGCAGAGCGCTGGCTGAAGGAGCTGCAGGACCACGCCGACAGCAACATCGTCATCATGCTGGTGGGCAACAAGAGCGACCTGCGCCACCTGAGGGCGGTGCCCACCGACGAGGCGCGGGCCTTCGCTGGTGAGTGTCGCCGCGCCCCCCCGGGGCTCCTGGGATGAGGAGGAGCCCCCCCCTCCGGATTCTCCTACTGCTTAGGCAACGTCCAGTTATTCCAAACGCTCATTCAAGGGGGGAATATTCTTATTTTAAACACAGATCTGCATTTGAGGAGGACCAGAACACTAACACATGCAGATGTCTCCTTAAAGATTTCCCTCCTTTGACTCGCAGACTCGTCTCTTTCCAGAAAGCGCAGATTAACAACATAACAACAACAACATCACTTTATTAGCCCTATACAATTTCTTGCAATAGGAATTCATCTTTTCGCATACCCCAGCTTGCTCTCCATGAGACACACAGACAGGGAGAGAGCCTGGGGTCAGAGCGCAGGGTCAGCCATTGTACAGCACCCCTGGAGCAGCTGGGGTGAAGGGCCTTGCTCAGCGGCCCAACAGAGTAGGATTCCTCTGCTGGCCGTGGGATTTGAACCGGCAACCTCCCAGCCACAGGTGCAGATCCTGAGCCCCAGAGCCTGCGCTCCGCCCCACACAGATGTCACAGATAACTGACACAGATGTCCGAGTCATTCAGCCCCCTCCTTGCGCACTGCCGTTGTATCCAAACGTTTGGGCAACCGTGGTCAACTTTTCACACAATCTCTCAGTGAAGAGAAGTTAACACTACCTCTGCAGGGTACAAACTTAAATAATAGTATTTCTGCACATTTCAGTGCACAATTACTGTTTATTGGCTGAATTTAACAGATTGAAAAAACAATTTTGTGCAGCTCTTGCTGGGAGCCAGTTGCTTTGCAACATCGATTCCCCGCTTCCTGTCTTCTGAAGACACCCTGTCTTGTTGGTCAACTGTAGGCTCTCCGATCCATGCTGTTTCAGAACGGTAATCCAGCCACAGAGACTTTTAACTGCCCTTAATTACACCTTGTCTTGGTCAACTGTAGGCTCTCCAATCCATGCTGTTTCAGAACTGTAATCCAGCCACAGAGACTTTTAACTACCCTTAATTACCTAATTGACCCTGCCTCTGGAAATCTCTTTGCTACTTAAGCACCAGCTGGGACAAAGAGTGGAAGCTGCTGACCCCTGGTGTAGGAGCTGTTGCCGCCAGGAGATGTGATTACCGCGGTCGTGAGAAGTCTTTGCCTGCCCTCGGGGTCATGTCGCTGGCTTCCAATTCATTTCAGAGAGTTTCATGAGCTGTAAGGGGCCGTGCAGCGCTGCTTGCGATGAGTTTATCACTGTATGCTGTCTGGAGCCGCACTCGCCCAGCGCTGGGGTCTGTCGTCCAGAGCGCCGCGAGAGCTGCTGGGCGCCAGCTCTTACTCATCACGCTAATCTCCGTGTCGCTGCCGAGGCTGTGAACGTCTTCACCTCTAGTTACATGCGATTCTGAACTTAAAAAAAGCCCAAAGGGAAAATCCACTGTGAGACTGACATCAAACATTAATTTTATCAAACGCAATATAGTTCAGAGTGTATTGTGTCATTGTACAATAATCAGAAACGCAAAAACATTTTGATATTAATACACTGCCAATATCTAACCTCGATCCCTTTGCATTTAGCCTCTTTGGCCTTCATTTGCTACAGATATCTCACACAGTTCCTGGAAGGTCTAGTGTCCTCTCCTAGCTTCAAGTCCCATAGTTGGTCTAATTATTCAATTAGCTGCATAACTGCGATACGTCTGCGATTTATGGGTAACTGTCCTCAGTAATGAAGCTAATGTGTTCTGTCATCGACTGTTTAAAGGGGAAGATCTCTGCATGTGTAAATGAGAAAACGATTAGTTATGTGGATCAATTGGCTTCTCGGGTTGGAGCAAAAGCCAGAAGGCTCATAGCCCTCCAGCAGCTGAGCCGGCATGCCTGCTCTTGTGCTTCTGGGAGGAGAGGCACCGGTGCTGGCGTGTTCTGACCCCCCCATCCTCGTTTCTGCTCTGCGGGCTGCACTAAAACCCTGATGCCGGAACCGCTCGGGCTGGGAGAGAGATCCATCTTCCGCTGGGAAGATTCCGTATTTACAGAATCCACGCGAGTTCTTCCACTCTTCACCCTACAGCTTTAAGGGAGTAGGTGTGCCCGTGTGTTATAGTAAGGGAGACAGATAGCAGATGTGTTTAAAAGACAGGTGAAGTCATTTCTCTCTTCTCCTGAGCTAACGTGTAGCGATGACAGAGGTTACTCTTTCACTCTTTCAGATGCAAAGCGATAATATAAGGATTCATTAATTAGATTACTGTTAAAGGTATATAATTTAGTGTGTGCTTGGGTTGGGTACTATTAAATAATACCTGCGCCGCAAAGGAAAGCATCCATCTGAAATTGCTCAATGCAATCTGAAACAGTTTCTTAGGATGGCTCACTGCACAGCCGGTCAGGTGGACAAGCGAGAAATTACTCGATTGGTTTAAGGGCTACACAGGCCAGGCAAAATATCCCTTTCGAGCCAATTTTATCCTGTCAGGAGTTACAGACCAATTATGGATGATTAAACGCTGCAATATTCTGAGGTTTCGTTAAGCATGTGCAAGGATTACCGAATTTCATTCCGAAAATGAGATTAATTAGTTCTGATGTGCTTTCGTATTCATATTGATTTATATTAATGGGTTTAAATTAGGCATGGTACCTAAACTGCTCACTCATCTTTTGTGTGTTTGCTTCCACTAGCAAAATATGTAATGCTTAATTAATTGAAGGAACTGCATTTTAGGCCATTATGCTCTGAAATGATAAGAGAGAAACTTTTACAAAAATAACTGCTCATACTGTATAATGGCCTAATTACCTACCAATAGTTATCATTTTTATTATATTACCCTTAACTATTCCCATAGTTAAGGGTAGCTTTGTGGTATTCTGCAATCAAGGACCCAGGATTAAATTTACAAATAAGAACTTTTGCTGCCTGTTGGTATATGAGAGCACTTTTATGTCCAGCCCAAAGTGTTCATACATGCAAACATGCAATCTAATGCCCACCCTGGGCTCTCATTTGGTGTGAGGGGTCAGTACAAGTGCCTTTCCTTTCTGTGCTGCTGTACTACTGGCTCAGGAGGCTATGCTGAGAAGGACTGGCTGAGACCATGCAATGACCTAACTCATTCTGAACTGAACAGTCTTTCAGTAGAATTGCTTTACACTGAATTTTCCCAGGGACTGTGACCTGTAAAGCATGAAGTACAAATAGTATTTCATTGGATTGTGCGATTGAGTGCAGTGCATTAACATTTTACAGCACTTCATCCTGCTTATCATCAAGAGCATGTAAATGGAAATCTGAATTGTGGCCTTATGGAGTTGGGCACAGATCTTTATCTTGTACAGAAATGTGTGCAAATTAAATGTTTCATTTCTGACTATATTTCTGTTCTTTGCAATGGTTGCCACGAAAGGCGCTTAATAAACTCCTGTGTTAGACAGATGCTAGTGAAGTCTGATCTGAGCCCTGCGCCCCCTGTTGTGTTTCAGAGAAGCATGGCCTGTCTTTCCTGGAAACCTCCGCGCTGGACTCCTCCAACGTCGAGCTGGCCTTCCAGACGATCCTCACAGGTGAGTGTGCGGTTTCGCACAGGACCGCCCGGACGCGGCTGTGACGCTGTGCCCATACTGAACACACTGATTTTCGTGTCCTGGAAAGATTCGACTTCCACCCTGTGATTGTCACACACTAAAGCGAGATGTGAGGCCCCAGAGTGTCTCCGATTTGACTTTGTCCACCTGAAACCCGCAGGATTCCAGCCTAAGGGCCTGGAGCTACTTGAATATCACCGGGATTTGAATGGGAAGATTGTACTTTCCGTCAGTTGCATGAACGCATGAGCATTGTTGTGGTTTCCCAAATAATCTCTTAAACCAGTCCTTGCCTGGGGAACAATTTTAAATTGCCCAAACTTCTGCAAACGCCATTAGGTGGCGCCAAATCCCTACAAATACAATTGTGCTCAGCTCTGTTTCAGCTTCCCCTGGTTTGCCTTTTTCCAGTCAGATGTTTAGGAATATTTGTGTGAAGCACTATTGGAGGATAAGTCTTAACAAGGGGGCCACACAGGGATCATTTCTAACTGTAGCCTACGATCTATAATCATTTTCAGCAAGTTACAAATGACAGCTCTGTCTCCCGTTCCTGATAAAAACGGGATGTGGGATAGATAGATAATACTTTATTAATCCCGTAGGGAAATTGATGTGTTACAGCAGTCCAGCCCAACACAAGCAAAAACAGACATCAGAATAGTTATAAAACAAAAGACAACAAAATCTTGATCATGGGATCCTGAGATGCTACAGAAGGAGAATGCCGTCTAAAAAGTTATTCAAGAGATCAGTTTTTTTCCAGACATGTCAAGTAGCTATGAGTAAAGTGCCTTTGTCAGCATCAAAGATCTTTAAGTGCCCTTTCACAACCTAACGCCAATTAGAGAGGTTTAATACACTAATTGTGTTCAGACTTCTTCCCTTCTTATCAGGAGTCTGGCCATTTGATGAAAGATGGGTGCTTTGAAGCCCCCCCAAAAAATTAAGGCTGTTGTAATCAGATGGCAATGTAGCTAATTAAGCAACCACAGGGCTCAGGAGTCAGCATTCAGGGTCGTTCGTATCCTTGAGATTTAGGTTCTGTCTAGAATTTTTTCTTGGCTCTTGAAAACAAAGGTGAGGCTTCAGACCAGCGTGAAGGCATAGCAGATTCACCCTCCTGCCCTAAAACAGGAGCTTCAGTGAGCACAATGTACCCTGTTAGGACCTGGCCTGCTGGTCCCTCCTCCTTCCCCAGTTTCCCCAGCATGATGTCTGCTGTTAAACTGTGGGAGCGGATGCCTCTTACGGTGCCCTTTGTAGGAGCCGTCTGAGCGCTGTAACAAGCCAGGCTTGGCTCTCTCCCTCTCCCTCCTGCAGAGATCTACCGCATCGTGTCCCAGCGGCAGATGTCGGGGCGCAGCGACTCGGACTTCTCGCCCAGTGCCAACGTGGTGCCCATCACTGTGCAGCCCACACAGCACTCGGCCAAGCAGAGCTGCTGCCAGGGCAACTGAGTCGAACACACCCCCCCCCCCTCCTTCCCCGCACCACCACCAGGCGGGGGTGGGGTGGGGGGGGTGAGATCCCGGGACGGAGAAGGGAGAGGGGGTGAAGAAGGGGACCCCGAAGCAGAGGCCCTCTCAGAAACGGGTGAAAGCGATCTCATTTAGTCCGAGCTCATATTCGTGATCTGGCTCTAGGTACGGCCCCTCTCTGTCCTGCGCTGTACCTCCTGCTGCTCTCTGTAGCTGCCTGCCTGTCTGGGATGAGGTCATTCTCGTTAGCTCGTTGGCTGGTTAGCTCTTTAGGGATGTGCACAGGCCCTAAGACTTGGGTGGGCGTCGATCAAGGAATATGAACATGTTTAAACTTGGGGGCTAGAGAGAATCAGCATGGGGCCAGGAGAGAAGATTTGTGCAATTTCTAGTGGTTGAAAATCTTCATGGACACATACAAATGAGCAGCAGGCCAATACTTATGGAGAGCTTTTTCACGTTTGTCCTCAGTTTTATTGCTTCTTTTTTTCTTTTTGCGTGTGAACACATTTTCTCAGATTCACCCTTCTGAAGGCACTAAGCCACATCGATCCAGGTTCTATCCCAAAGGGCAGACGCCGCTCTCAAAATGAGCGGTCACGTGCTCCTGTTAGATTTCTATTTTAAATGTTTGGTTTCTTTATTTAAGAGTTTTTAAATGAAGAAAATCCTGAAAGCGTTGTCTCCCTTGTGCGGTCTGGGGTCTGTTTACATCCCTTCTCTCAACACTAAAGGGGATAGCTACTGTACACGCAGAGCCCCACTGAGCGGTGTCCTGCAGTTGCTATAGATTTTTTTATTGTTACTTTAAGCAGAATCCTTTTATAGGTCCACAGCCAGTCTCTTTCAACCCTGACGTGGACCACAAATGAATGCAAGGCGGTGTCAGGGTTGGGGGCGTAGTGCGAGCAGGGGTTTCTGAGCCTTGTCTGACGGGGCTCCTGCACTGAGCCAGTTACAGAAGAGACGTCGCCCCCCTCCGAAATCTAGACACCTGGAGTGTGAGACTCTGCTTCAGCAGAGGAGACGGAGGTGTCCGCTGTCGGGGGCAGGGCGTGCCGTCTGCCTGGAGCCACTGAACAACCGGGATCGAATCCCAGCAGGAAGAGCTGCACTCTGGCTCCTGGGGGGCCGGTGTGTCCGACTTTTTCAGGATCTAGATCGGCTAATTCCTGGCCTGATGGGACCTGTCCACCAGTCTGTCCAGGCTCCTCCAGTACTGGAGCCCTAGAGCAGTGGTTTCCTGCCCTGGTCCAGGGAGACTTCCGATTCCCGTTTGGGGAATTTTACAATTCACATCCGGGTCTTAAAATGTTGCACGGAATTTTTAATTGGGATCAGCCCTGTACTGATTTTAGTTTTCGTTTCCGACCTGCCTTCTGTCAACATTGTGAAAAATTACGTGCAGACGTGCAAACTCGCAGAGAAGCAGAAGGAAAAGTACACTAACTGGGGGAGTAACTGGACACCTCAAGAGCCTTTTTAGTTAGAAATGAATTCTTAATCAACATGTTAGGGAGAAACTGCATAAACATTTATGCACTGAAATTGTTGGGAAGTAATGTGCTTTAGCTAAGATATATTTCTTAGTCTGAATAAGCAAGCAGATCATGTACAGTCACCAAACCCAGCAAACACAAGGATGTCTCCGGTCCAGGAGTGAGAACCACTGCCCCAGAGACTCAGATCCTACAGGTAGACTAGGCCTCCAGGACCAGGACTGGACACCCCTGTGTCAGAACCACAGTGCTTCAACTAACTGGTTCACTGTCTGCAGTCGCCTTGATGCTGTTCATAGGATCCAAACTGAGTGACCTACTGATTCTGTCACATTAAACCTGGTGAACAGGGCTGATTGGTGTTGGTGTGGGGCGTATTTTAAAAATTACTTCTGCTCTTTTATTTATTTTAAGGAGGGTCTCTTCACTTTTGGGTTCTGTTTTTTTATAACCTGTCATCCAGGTCTGGAATTAATGCATAAATCAATTCTAGACCTTTTTTCATTCCATAATTTGTTTTGTTTGTTTCATTTACCGTGTATTTCACAAACGTACAGGAGATGTACATGATCTTCTAAAAGCCATCATATAGTTACAGCCTTGTATTGTACAGGAACCTGCCATGATGCCACTAGAAAACATATTTTTATAGGGTAAGGACACCGGAAATGAATATGTCGCAGATATAGAAATGGTGTGAGTTGATTAAAAAATGTAAAACTCTACCTGCTACTTGTAGATGTCAAATTTGGATGTTGATTGTCCCTTTTTTTATAGAAGGCTTCTGAGTTCTTCGTTTGTTAAATAGGAAGTCCTCAACTAGTACTAGATTTGTCAAGTGGGAAGTGTTGATCTAATCTCATCGGTTTCAGCAGGGGGTGCCTGTATGTGTGGAGATTGCATGTTTCTCTCGAGTTTTCTACTGACCAGCCTACTTTTAATTGGCTTATTCGTCCACTTTGGAAGATTTCATTTAATACAGAGGTGGAATTGCAAGCCAATACGGGTGATGGGAGCTGTAGAGAATCACCAGAATAACCCAGTGGGTCCAATGGCCTGCTCTCCGTTGTGACCCTTCTGACCTGGGTTCTACCACTCTGTAGACCTAATTGTAGGAATAAAATGGTTATCCTCGAGTACTGCTTGGAAAACTTGAGGAGAAAAGTTGTTTGTGGTGTATGTTTTTCATTAGAGAAAGCACATCTTAGGTTTAAATAAACAACTCTTAACTGTAAAATCCTGGCTTTAAAAAGGGACTATTGTATCTACACTACTGAGTCAATCTATATCAGCTTCCGCTACATTTGTGCGACAGAGTTTTCAGATCTGCTGCCTTTTTTTTAAACACCGTGTTATTTGGCCACTTTTCTGTTTCTCACAGTTAACCGGAGGATTTGTTATGTTAGTGTCTTGTTCATGCCATTGTAATTTCACGCCTTAATTTGGAACAGAAATGTATATGGCTTTAGTGCAGTGGAAGGCCTTAAAAACTCTCACCATAGGTTGGTTCCAGTATTCCTTTGTTACCTTTTTAAATCCTCACAGTATATTATTACGGAGCAATAAACAAGGCTTAATATTTGAACCAAGCCCTTAAAAAAATTAGACTTGCTTTTATGAAGGGTGCAACATTTTTCTCCTGGTTTTTATCTGAGATGACCATACCTTCTGGAATCCCTTACGGATTGTCGTCAGGCCTCACGTCTTTTTCTTAAGTGGGGGGGTGGGACACAGAAGCAGTGTAGCCTGTAGAGAATAAGACTCTTCCAGAGTGACTTTGCCCTCAGCTACTGTGCTGTTCTTAGTCCAGGTGGACACTGGAGATCTGCCCAATATAGAATTTTTTTTCTGGTTTTATTGTGACAATTAATGTATCTGTATATTTCGTTTAAATATGTACATATTAAATAAAAAGCCTATTTGAGAGGACAAATTTTGTTTTTATTTCCAGCAAACACTTCTAAATAGCTCTATAGCAACTCTTCTATTGGTCTGTAGAATTTAAAGTGAATTTGGAGTGTGTTCTTTCTCAGGGGAGTTAACGTACTGTTTGCAGTGTTCATTTGCGTTTTTGATAGGAATTAAATCTCCTTTATTCAAGATCAGTGCAGATAGTACCCTTCCTCTGCTTAAAAAGTGGGAAAGTTATTTTAAAATCCATTGCTGCGTTCAAGAAAAGTAGTGCAGTTTGGTTTGTGCTTAATTCTCAGATTTCAAACTGGCAAGAGCTGGAAAAAAAGGAATGAGCAACCTGTAAAAAAGAAAATATGCACATGTGCCGAAGATCACAGGTTGAAATTAAGACGAGGTCTGGGTACTTTCATGATTTTTTTATTAGAAACATTTACAATACATTTTAAAACCATCTTGGAAAAAAATACAAGAACCCAAACTAGTATTGTTATAATACGGTATATATAAAATAAAAAATAAAATAAAAAAACAATCACAGATTACATGTGCTAGAAAAAAAATGAGCCATGTTGCATGCTCGTGCCAACATGACATCATCGTAACATGGTTCAAAAGAAGACACACGTGTGGGGGCGTGTCCGCCAGGTCGCGCACACGCCCCGCCTCTTTCTCCTGGAAACGGATTAGTCAGAAACAAGGGCCGGCGGCTGCGGGCCCATCTAATGCACTAAAACCACTATGAGACTGGTATGCAACTTTCTACAGTGCCGGAAGATTAAAAAGCTACCAAAGACAAACTGTCAGACTGTCATGAACGTTTATGAAGAAGAAAAAAAGAACAGCAGTCGAAGCAAGGCGACATTTCACCCCTGAACACATCAGCCCCAACACGTGTAACTGAATACAGAGGGCCTGTTACCAGATTCGGGACTGTTCATTAATTTTTTTGCATCGTGGCTGTTGAACGACGCCCCTCTTCATGGCTTACGGAAGAATTGTATGTCAGCAATTTGGGGAATGTTTTTCTTTGCCCGGTCGGGTGTTTTTGTGAAGGTGGAAGTGTGCCCAGCTTTTCAGGAAAAGTGGGCCCGAGAGAGGCGGCCACGGTTTTGTCACGTCAGTGGATGAAGACGTCCTCCCTGGGCGTCGTCGGTTTGCTCAGGACCCAAAACAAGAACGCGTCAGGGCACTCCGTGGCACAGAAAAACATTCCCGATTTTCCAATGACCGGATTTGTTCGCGCTCCCCGTGAGTTACAACGCTGAACGGCGAGGGCTATAACTTCAGCGGGCCTTCGGATGAACCGCCACCCACAGAGTTCAAGAAAAGAGCGGACAGGCGTCGCCCCAACTCCCCCGCCTCCCACCCTGAAAGGGGCCAGATGGAGCGACTCCTGCCGCAAAGGGCGCTCGCAAATGTCTCCTTGCCGACTGCTGCTGTTGCCGGTTTTCTAAAACTCTCAGCTCTCCTATTCCAGCGCCAACGGGGGCGTCCACTATGAGAATCTAAAAAAAGAAAACGCAGCCCGCCCGCCCCCAGAGAGGACCATGCGTCCACAGTCCCTCTTGGGAACAGGTCTCCATGCGGAGCTACAGGCTGCCCTCAGTTCTAGGTGAATCTACAAGAAACATGCAATCTTGTATGAATATGTAAGAATGTGGTTATGTGTTACTATCATACATCTACTACATATTGTGTCTAGGCAACTCCAAAAGCCATGGAAGGTCACTGATTCTGCGCTGCGGGACAGTCTGCTGTCCCTGAGCCAGAGTTGACAAATCTACATTAGAAACCGTTTAGGCATTATTGGAGAGGAACGTTTATTTTTATAAAGGAAGGTTTTACTTAAGGCTTTAGTTCAGTTTTTTTTGTGTGTGTGTGTATACATTGTTTTTTTTTTTTGCTTTTCTTAAAAAAAACATTTGGCATTATTTTTAGGACATTAAAGCAAAAAATAACTTCCAACACGTAGTAGATATATGTTCATACGTACGGCGTGTAGTGTTGTATGATGTTCGTAGAGACTGTGTGTGTATGGGCGGGCGTGTACATCGCTCGTACACACCTGCCCCCTTAAAATAGGCTCAGAAGCAACGGGTGCTGCATTAACTCGACAAGCAGAAAAGGAACCTGTTCAGGAAGTTAAAAACTGGGAATCGTTAGGGCGTGGGGCAACACTAATAAACGTTTTCGGAAATAACTTTTATACCTTAAAAGTTTTCTTGTTTAAAAGTTACAATAGCATCATCCTTTATTACTTTTTTTTCTTAAATAATATAGATAAATACATTACATTGGCATGCGTTTTTGTTTCCCTGAGAGTCAGCTGGTGACTTCTGCGTTGGTGAACGCAGGTGAGCGCTTGCGGCAGTTCGAGCCCACCAAGTGACGCGCATCTCAGGCGACGCGCCCTACTGAAGACGTCACTGGGGTGGTGCTGCCATAGCAATTCGGGAACCTTAGCTCGACTACTCAGCGAAACAAAAATAAAAAAGCTTTTTTTTTTAATTCTTCCAATTCATTACATTTCTTTTTAAAATATTTCCATTAAAATGTACCGGACTGCCCTGTAAAACTTCATTGTTTTTTGCTGTTCAAATATAAACCATGGAGAAGACTTGTTAACACCTCCCTCCCCGTATGTTTCCTGCAAGAGTGAAATACCATAAATAAAGAGTCTTGATTTTTTCTATTTTTTTCGGTTATCTTCTCTAAGCTCATAAATAAAACTTTGTTTTTTTTTCACTAAAAACCAGCTTCCTGTGTTAGAAATATATTAAACTTTTTGTATTTTTTTTGTAATTAAAAAACAAAACGTCTTAAGCGGTTACTCATAAATATCTTATTTTCATAAATAACTGTGTGATACCGATTCCTCTTCTTCATAGGAAATAATAACCCACGTTAGCAAAATAGAATTTAAAAAACTGTAATAAGAAAGTTTTGCTTTTAAGTTGCTTCCTATAAATGTAACATACGTTAAAACTGCTAGAACCCAAACCTCGCCGTCAGTGAAACATTTGAGATCTTAAAAGCTGGTCCAGAATACGGAAAACTTCGCTTTGGGGTTAATTCACTGCTTGTTTAGACATTCCTCTCAGTGATTAACGCTGAACTGACTTTGGATAGGCAAAATGAACTGTAGATCATAATTATAACTGATAACACTGTTAAAATCAAAGAATAACCTGTATCCCTTAATAACACGTTACCAACCATCGTGGGTTTTGGCTTAGTGGGTGTCGGTAACCTACTGTCAATGAAAACAAAACAAAAAAACGACCACGAGAGAATAGGCATGACCACACTGCTGGGGTCCACAAAATTGATCTTCAAATCAGATTAACAATATCACACCGAACCATTATTATCCGGGTAATTAGTCCAGTCTGCAGCCAAAAAATATCACATGCCAATTCCCTAAAAGTCCCCTTTTGTTCCTGGCGCCTCTGATCTACAGAGTAACGCAGAACCCCTGTCCGTCCGCTTCTCTCATTCTCACGGGTGGGTTTTTAGACACAAACCTTGTACACTTATATTAATAGCAACACAATGGGGTTTCACTATACGGCGAGGCCTGGGTCACATTAAATAAACGTTAAACTTTTTTTTTCTCTATTTCATTAAAACTTTTTTAAGAATATAGGCTAGCCCTTAAGTGACGGTTCTACAAGAATTACAACACAATCGTATAAATATAGATCCCTCCCCCGCCCACAGTTTTCCTAATAATCGCTGTTCTCCGTGCAGCGTCGTACAAAGTCAACTCCACCACAAGGAATATTGACTGAGGATGCCGGGAAAATCCCGTGCTGTCAGCGTTGTGTTAATTCACATTTAATGCTGGGATGAGATACAAAGGTGCCCTTAAGAAGCCAGTTTTTGGCTAGTATATATAGAAAAAAAACGGACGCCAAAGCAATTGGCTCAGTTTGATTAAAGGTATTATTAGTCTAAGGTTTGTTTCTTTGGGAATTTGTCCTGTGGTTGAGTTTCAACAATCTCTCACATTTGCCGTTTATTCCTTAACCGGTTGACTGGCGCCCCCTGGGGGAGCCGGGAATGTGTGTTTCCGAAGTGCAGACCGCTTTCACACCCACGGCCGCGCACGGAACCGAGCCCGAGCCGAGGTGTGCTCGCCGTGACCCGCCGCAGCTGTTCACGTAACACGCCGCTCTGCCTTTATTGGTCGATAAGGGGGGTGTACGAGGTCGCCCACGCCCTCTTGTGGGGGTGCGTGTTTGCTTTGCTGTAAACGCTGCCCCCTCCTTTTCTAACGGCGCCGCAGTGACGCGAGAGCGAACCTCGGTTTTCGGAGCGACTCGGACCAGCTCGTCACTCCTCTCCCGGAGAGCTTCCAACGAATGGCAAGTCTTTGCATCTTTCAAACTTTACTGACCACTTACCACCCCAGCAAAAGGGGTGAAGTGGGATCAGAGTAGGATCTTAGCTGGACTAATGAACCCCTCTCCACCCCCGCCTTGGAGTGGACACGGGCCAGAGACTTAAGCGGTCCGTTGATTATGGTTCTCCGGTTACAAAATGCACACGACTCCGTTGCCGGATCGTTACAAGGTCGAGTCCAAGCCAGAGAGCGAATCTCTCTCTTCAAAAACACACAGCGGTCAACGGCAGGAGACGACACCGCAGGGGAATGCGCACGCAAGGCTGGCCAGTACATCGGATCTTAGACTTTTGAGAGAAAAAAAAAAGGCAGAAAAATCTCATCTCTTTGCAGTTTTTATTCTTTGGCTAACCTTTTATTATTTTGTTCACATTTCATCTTTTAGTCTCGCAACCAAGAATACGGAGAAATCTGTTTACAAAAAAAACCCTAAAATTTAAACGTAACAATACTTAAAACACTGTTTTTAAATCAGCTACATAAAAATAAAATATAGTTAAAACACTGAAATAACTTTCATTTTAACAATAATAATCTTATGGTAATTATAACGTCTTGGATAAAACATCTCCCTAATATGAGTAAATACCGCATAATAAAAGTTTTAATAAAT